CAGGTAGTTGAAAGCAGCTATCAAATCATAAGAACGGCCATACTGGGTCAGACCAAAGGTCCATCAAGCCCAGTATCCTGTCCTCTGACAGTGGCCAATGGCAGGTGCCCCAAAGGGAATGAACAGACAGGTTATCATCAAGTGATCCATCCCCTGTCGCCCATTCCCAGCTTCTGGCAAACAGAGGCTAGGGACACCATTCCTGCCCATCCTGGCTAATAGCCATTGATGGACCTATCTAGCTCCCTTTTGAACCCCATTAAAGTATTGGCCTTCACAACACCCTCTGGCAAGGAGTTCCAGAGGTTGACAGTGTGTTGCGTGAAAAAATACTTTCTTGTGTTTGTTTTAAACCTGCTACCTATTAATTTCATTTGGTGGCCCCTTGTTCTTGTATTATGAGGAGTAAATAACACTTCCTTATTTGCTTTCTCTATACCACTCATGATTTTATAGACCTCTATCATATCCCCCCTTAGTCGCCTCTTTTCCAAGCTGAAAAGTCCCAGTCTATTAATCTCTCCTCATACGGAAGCCGTTCTATATCCCTAATCATTTTTGTTGCCCTTTTCTGAACCTTTTCCAATTTAAATATATATTTTTTGAGATGGGGCGACCACATCTGCATGCAGTATTCAAGGTGTGGGCGTACCATGGATTTATATAGAGGCAATATGATATTTTCTGTCTTATTATCTATCCCTTTCTTGATGATTCCCAACATTCTGTTCACTTTTTTGACTGCCATTGCACATTGAGTGGATGATTTCAGAGAACTCTCCACAATGACTCCAAGATCTTTTTCTTGAGTCGCCCAGTTTTGTGAGATCCTTTTGTAGCTCTTCGCAGTCTGCCTGGAACTTAACTATCTTGAGTAGTTTTGTATCATCTGCAAACTTTGCCACCTCACTGTTTACCCCTTTTTCCAGATCGTTTATGAATATGGTAAATAGGAATATGTTAAATAAGACTGTCCCCTGGGGGACACGACTATTTACCTCTCTCCGGTCTGAAAACTGACCATTTATTCCTACCCTTTGTTTCCTATCTTTTAACCAGTTACCAATCCAAGAGAGAACCTTCCCTCTTATCCAATGACAGCTTATTTTGCTTAAGACCCTTTGGTGAGGGACCTTGTCAATGGCTTTCTGAAAATCCAAGTACACTATATCCACTGGATCTCCTTTGTCCAAATGCTTGTTGACTCCCTCAAAGAATTCTAGTAGATTGGTAAGGCATGATTTCCCTTTACAAATACCATGTTGACTATTTCCCAATAAATTATGTTTATCTATGTGTCTGACAATTTTGTTCTTTACGATATTTTCAACAAATTTGCCCGGTACTGAAGTGAGGCTTACTGGCCTGTAGTTGCCGGGATCACCTCTGGAGCCTTTTTAAAAATTGGCGTCACATTAGCTATCCCCCAGTCATTTGGTACAGAAGCTGATTTAAATGATAGGTTACAGATGACAGTTAGTAGTCCTGCAATTTCACATTTGAGTTCCTTCAGAACTCTTGGGTGGATACCATCAGGTCCTGGAGACTTATTACTGTAAAACCGCCTCTAATGACACCTCAATTTGGGACAGTTCCTCAGATCTATCATCCAAAAAGAATGGCTCAGGTTTGGGAATTTCCTTCACATCCTCAACAGTGAAGACTGATGCAAAGAATTCATTTAGTTTCTCCTCAATGCCCTTATCATCTTTGAGTGCTCCTTTAGCATCTCGATCGTCCAGTGGCCTCACTGGTTGTTTAGCAGGCTTCCTGCTTCTGATGTATTTAAAAGATTTTTTGTTATTTCTTTTGGAGTCTTTGGCTAGCTGTTCTTCAAATTCCTTTTTGGTCTTTCTAATTATATGATTACACTTCATTTGCCAGAGTTTATGCTCTTTTCTATTTTCGTCATTACGATTTATCTTCCACTTTTTAAAGGATCCCTTTTTGCCTCTCCCTGCTTCTTTTACTTTGTTGTTTAGCCACGGTGGCACTTTTTTGGTTCTCTTACTATGTTTTTTCATTTGGGGTATACATTTAAGTTGAGCCTCTATTATGGTGTCTTTAAAAAGTTTCCACGCAGCTTGCAGTGATTCACTTTTGGCGCTGTACCTTTTAATTTCTGTTTAACTAACCTCCTCATTTTTGTGTAGTTCCCCTTTCTGAGATTAAATGCTACAGTGTTGGGCCACTGTGGAGTTTTCCCCGCCACAGGGATGTTAAATGTAATTATATTATGGTCACTATTACCAAGCGGTCCAGCTATATTCACCTCTTGGACCTGACCCTGTGCTCCACTTAGGACTAAATCAAGAATTGCCTCTCCCCTTGTGGGTTCCAGGACTAGCTGCTCCAAGAAGCAGTCATTTAAGGTGTCAAGAAACTTTATCGCTGCATCCCGTCCTGAGGTGATATGTACCCAGTCAATATGGGAATAGTTGAAATCCCCCATTATTATTATTTGCTTTTTTATTTTAATAGCCTCTCTAATCTCCCTGGTCAGGTGGTCTGTACTATAGCCCTATTGCTATATTCTTATTTTTCAAGCATTTAATTACTATCCATAGAGATTCTATAGTACAATTTAGTTCATTTAAGATTTTTACTTCATTTGATTCTACGCTTTCTTTCACATATAGTGCCACTCCCCCACCAGCACCATCTGTTCTGTCCTTCCGATATATTTTGTACCCTGAATCCCCCCTCATTCTTCTCTTCTGCAGACTAAACAATCCCAGTTCCCTCAATCTCTCCTCATAAGTCATGTGCTCCGGCCCCCTAATCATTTTTGTTGCCCTCCACTGGACTCTTTCCAATTTTTCCACATCCTTCTTGTAGTGTGGGGCCCAAAACTGGACACAGCACTCCAGATGAGGCCTCACCAATGCCGAATAGAGGGGAATGATCACGTCCCTCGATCTGCTGGTAATGCTCCTACTTATACAGCCCAAAATGCTGTTAGCTTTCTTGGCAACAAGGGCACACTGCTGACTCATATCCAGCTTCTCGTCCACTGTAACCCCTAGGTCCTTTTCTGTAGAACTGCTGCCTAGCTGCTCGGTTTCTAGTCTGTAGCAGTGAATGGGATTCTTCGTCCTAAGTGCAGGACTCTGCATTTGTCCTTGTTGAACCTCATCAGGTTTTTTTTGGCCCAATCCTCTAATTTGTCTAGGTCCCTCTGTATCCTATCCCTACCCTCCAGCGTATCTACCACTCCTCCCTGTTTAGTGTCATCTGCAAACTTGCTGAGGGTGCAATCCATGCCATCCTCCAGATCATTAATGAAGATATTGAACAAAACCGGCCCCAGGACCGACCCTTGGGGCACTCCGCTTGATACCGGCTGCCAACTAGACATGGAGCCATTGATCACTACCCCTTGAGCCCGACCATCTAGCCAGCTTTCTGTCCACCTTATAGTCCATTCATCCAGCCCATACTTCTTTAACTTGCTGGCAAGAATACTGTGGGAGACCATATCAAAAGCTTTGCTAAAGTCAAGGAATAACACATCCACTGCTTTCCCCTCATCCACAGAGCCAGTTATCTCATCATAGAAGGCAATTAGGTTAGTCAAGCATGACTTGCCCTTGGTGAATCCATGCTGACTGTTCCTGATCACTTTCCTCTTCTCGAAGTGCTTTAAAATGGATTCCTTGAGGACCTGCTCCATGATTTTTCCAGGGACTGAGGTGAGGCTGACTGGCCTGGCATCTCCTTCCCCTGGATCTGTGGCTGAGTCCTCTGTGCAGCATGGTGGGCTCACGGGACCAAGAGCTCAGGCTGCTTCTTGGGCTTGTTCCCCCAGCCAGAGCGCCAATTCTCCAATTGTCTTAGATTGTCTTAGATTATTGTGTCCAGTTTTTGTTCAACATCTTTATTATGATCTGGAGGATGGGATGGATTGCACCCTCAGCAAGTTCGCAGATGACACTAAGCTGGGGGGAGTGGTAGATACAATGGAGGGTAGGGATAGGGTCCAGAGGGACCTAGACACATTGGAGGATTGGGCCAAAAGAAATCTGATGCGGTTCAACAAGGACAAGTGCAGAGTCCTGTCATGACCCGGTCTGTGGTGTTTCGATCCCTTTGGGCCAAAGAGAAGTGATCAATGACAGTTGCGCTGTAACCCTGCCCCTTGGGCCAGTGTCCAGCGAATGGGAGTGGAGCCTGCCTGGCGACGCCCAGCATCAGATGGGGTTTCCTGTGCTTTACTTAGCTTGGAAGTTCTTTGGGGCAGGGACTGTCTTTTTGTTCTGTTTCCACAGCCCCTAGCATGCTGGGGCTCAGGCCCAGGGCTGGGGTTCCTAGGTCCATAGGCGCCAACTCCATGGTTGCTCTGGGGCTGGACCACCCAGAGGAAAAAAAATAGTGGGTGCTCAGCACCCACCAGCCCCCTGACCATCAGCTCTTTGGTGGGCCCACCTATCAGCTGTTCGGCAGCGGGTGTGGGGCAGGAAGAGGCGGAGCAAGGGTGGGGCCTTGGAGGAAGGGCCAGAATGGAGGCAGGGCCTTGGAGCAGAGCAGGGGTGGAAAACCCACCCAGAAAGAAGAAAGTCAGCGCCTAGGCCTAGGTCTATGGCAATGCAAACAGTAATACTGTTAATAATTAATATCCTGCTTCTGCAGGACTGTAGGGGCCTGGGGGTAAGATGGTGGGAATTGTTCTCCTTCAGGGGCCCACCTGGAAATGACAGTTTGTCACCAGAGATTAGCTCAGGCAGCAGCCATCTTCCATAGAAATGCTGGAGCTGAGCTGGAGGAGGGTCGGGGGACGTTTGGTTGCTGGGATCTCAGAATCTAAACCCAGCTGAGCCACTCAGTCTAGCCCCTGGAAACACCTCAAAGAGCGGCTTTAGAAAGGGTGTAAGAGAATGACTGGCCGGGGCTTCCCACTGGTGATAGTGAGGCTGTGATGTGACGTGGGGTGGCAGCGTGATGGGGGAGGATGCAGCGAAAGAGAAGTTGGATGATGTCATGTTCTGCCATTTTATCCCTAGGGTCAAAGTCCCATTCTGAGGAGTTCCCGCCCTACATCATTGATCACCCAACAGACTTGGTGGTTCGTTGGGACCAGCCTGCCACCCTGAACTGCCGCGTGGCAGGGAGCCCGGCACCCACTATTGAGTGGTACCGCAATGGGGAGTATGTGGAAACGAGCAAAGACAACGTTTATTCCCAGCGCACCCTTCTGCCCGATGGGTCGCTCTTCTTCCTCCGCCTCAACCAGCGGAAGGGCCAGTCCGACGAAGGGGTGTACACCTGTGTAGCCACGAACCACCTGGGCACAGCCAGCAGCAAGAACGCATCCCTGTACATTGCCGGTAAGGCGTTAGGAGCTGCTCACTGGATTGAGTGCCTGGAAATGGCCGTGCTTACTGGGCAGCCGAGAGATTTGACTTTGCTTTCGGTGCTTTGCTGAGCCTGCTAACAATGGAGGGGAGGGATAGCTCAGTGGTTTAAGCATTGGCCTGCTAAACCCAGGGTTGTGAGCCCAATCCTTAAGGGGGCAATTTGGGGATTGGTCCTCCCTTGAGCAGGGGGTTGGACTAGATGACCTACTGAGGTCCCTTCCAACCCTGATATTCTATGAATACACAGCTTTCCCCCAGCTCTTTGATTTAACAAATCAGCTGGGGAACAAACAATATTAACCCATGATGCATCAGTGAAAGAGGATAAATAACGCCAGCAGCAATTTCCCATGTCCCACTCAGGGGTAGCCACAGGGGGCCTAATCTGAATGGCGCTGAGCACTCTCAACTTCTACTGAAGTAGAGTTGGGCCCATCAAGAGTTTTCACACAAGAAATGAAGCGAAAGCCGGAAATTGAGAGTCCTGGGTGGTAGGTAGCTTCAATGCAGCCTCTTAGCCCCTGCTCAGGCTGAGTCACACAGATATGTTGAGAGGTCCCCATGTCACCACTATGAGACACCGGGGTAGCCTCCTGCATGCCAGCTCCCTAAAGCATAGCCTTCCAAGTATGCCCTTGCACTGGGCTTTGGTTGGAGAAGAGGACTGTATCGACTGAAGGGTACTTCTCTTTGTCTGGTCTGTGCTCGGATGGGAAGGCAAATGAGCCAATTTCCTGCAGTATCTGGAGCTCTGGCCCAGGCACTGCCATCTGGTACGTTGTCTCTCTGTCCGGAACCTGAGTAAAACTCAGGGAGACGCTCATTGCAACTGGACTGGGAAGAATGTGCTGAAACTCCACAGGCAACTCGCCTGCTATTTATAAGGTAACTTTCCAAGGCCTCCATGCCATGGGGATGATGGTTATTCACTCAGTGCCCGCTGAGTGGGAGACGCTTTGCAGATCAGTAGGAAGTAGAGCGGAGTGACTAATGAATTTTTTGGTTTGGGGGCTGTCATGGCTGATTCCCCACTCTGGCACTTCGAGTGCAGAAGGTGGTGGCCCGCAAGGATTCTAAAAATTAATACTGGCCACTCCAGGCTTGTATTAAACTCCCGAGGTTGGGACTTGTTGGGACCTTGGATGGGTAGATATTGCCACTACCCAAGTGCAAAAAAACCCCTTTGGACCCAGGAAGGCGCACTTGGGAATTTCTCGCTGTGGGGTACCCTCAAGCCCTTTCACCCCCACCCCCCTTCCAGGGAAGAGCTGAGAAAGAAAACAAAGGAAATCAGCTGTTGCCACCAGCTGATTAACAACATCTGCACAAACCTCCTAGGACACAAAAACTCAATCGTGTTCTCAAAAAAGGTCAATTTTATTAAAAACAAAAAGAAAGAAAATACATCTGGAACTTAGGCTATTGCTAGATTTAAAAAGAGCAAATATAATAATTAAACATCAAAATGGTTTTCTTGAGGTCCAGCTTAATGGTTGCAAGCAAAACAAAAGCAGTTGGGGGTTAGGAGTCCACAAGCCAGTAAGAAATAAAAGAAATAACCCTAATCGCATCTTCCTAGATATTCCCTGATTTACTTACATATCTGGGGTTTCAGATAAGTAATTCCTAGGTATGATTTGATGATTTTTCGTACCTGGTTTAGCTTCTTACAGCATCGCTGCTCTGTGTCTCCTCTCTCCGGAGAACAACAACAGACAGACAAAGGGAAAGTTTTTTCCCAATTTTAAAAAGTTCTAGCCCTCCCATTGGCTCTTTTGGTCAGGTGCCCACTCCCTCCCTTTTACCTATGATTTTTTTTAACCCTTTACAGGTAAAGCAAGTAGAGAACAGCTACTAACAGGGAGTAGTAGCTCCCTGGCTGGCTGGGTGTCCATAAAAGGGAGCTACCCCCCCTTTATTTATCATACCCTGTGCCCCCCGGCCCCAATTCCAGCATCACGTTGGTCATTGTCTGTCATGTGTTGAAGCTCAGCTGGCTCCAGGCTTCCTGCAATGGGATAAAGTGACCTGGACTTTCTCATCGTCACTGACCTGGCAGGTGAAATCCTGGAGGACAATCCCTGCTCTGGGCCAGATGAGCTGCACATGCTTGCTGCTCCCCTGCCGCACGCTCGCTGCTCCCTCACTGCATGTCTGCTGCCTGAACCCCCATGTAAGGGAGCTGTCTGCATTTTTGGCAGCTGCAGCTCTGGACTGTAGCAGCCGGTCCCGCCTCTGCCCTCCCCCCACAATATTTCCTCTTGCAAGGGTTGCTCAGCACAAGAACTCACATTTCATTAGTGATGCAATGCAATCCTCTCTGCTGGGCAGGCCCAGAGCCTTTCCAATTAACACTTCGTTACCGATCAGGCTCCATTAAGTCTCTGGTTCCCACAGCTCAGACCAGGGCCCTGTCCTGGTGTCGGTGGGTTATAAATACACCTCTACCTCGATATAACGCTGTCCTCGGGAGCCAAAAAATCTTACCGCGTTATAGGTGAAACCGCGTTATACTGAACTTGCTTTGATCCACCGGAGCGCTGCTTTACCGCGTTATATCCGAATTCGTGTTATATCGGGTCGCGTTATATCGAGGTAGAGGTGTATTCATACGGGTAAACCTGGTTTGGGAGATGCTTTTATTAGCAACACTAATGAAGCCCTGGGTAAAGTCCTGGCTTGTTGTATGACGTGCTGGCCTGATCCACTTCCTCCTCCTCTGCCGGCACAGGCATGAGAGGAGCTTTCAGAGCCCTTGCTGGAGCTGGGGCTGGTGTGGCACTGCCAGAACTCGGGGGTGTTGTCAGATGTTTTCGGTGTGGTGCTCTGCTCTGTTCAATGTTGATATCGATCGGCTGCGTGCGTGTGTTCCCTCTGTGTGCTGCCCCAGCTCTGCGCAGATCGCTGACACAGCAGACCCCGAGAGAACCCCCAATGACCACAGACTCTAGTAAGGTACGAAGGCACGTCGGCCGGGTTTATTGCCTTTAGAGATACACAGTCTCCAGCTCCCGCGCAAATGAAGTCCGAGGTGCTGCTAAGGTGCGGCTAGCCAGTACATATGTGCTCCCTTGACAATGGACTCAGCTCAGTCAGTGGCGGGACTTTTCACTGCCCCCTAGGCCGGACAAAGATATTCACTCAGGGATGCATTCTTATACACAGATACAAACAAGTTACACATCACTCCTGACGTATTGAGGTGCAACCCCTCTACGCAGCAAGGTACAACCCCTCTACGTAGTAAGGTGCCGCCTCGCACCTTGTACATGTTGGTTCGAACAAAACAACTCTATCCATCATATTCCCCTTTTGGCCCTGTCATTGGGATGGGTCAACTTGTTCCTGGTTATATGTGGAATGTACAAGTATTGGAGCATTCTGATATCTAGTGTTTAGTACCTTTAGGTATGTATCTTCTTGCAGCATCAGCCCTTTCCTTGCCAGCTTTTGTGAGCAGGGCCTTCCTCTAGTTCACAGCTTAACTTTGCTTATGTTAGCAAAGTCTTGACTATTACTTTAGTTCAGGCCTTAGGCCTCATACCGGGCCTCTGATACCAAGGTTTATATCTTAGGGCCTCCTCTTACTAGAGGGGGGGGGAGCCAGGGGCCATAACCATATGGGTGTAGTTTGGGGGGGCAACGCCATCCTTTCTGCCCTCCAAACTATGCCCATGTTAAAAAGTGGGGTGCATGGCCTCCTGAAACCCCCCCCCCCGGTTCCAGTGCTGGTGGCTCTCCACTTCTACAAAGGTTCTGGTGCCCTTGGCTAAGGCTTCATGGTCCTGTCCGTGGATGAGGGGGATCTGAACCCAGCTTCCAGAGGGTCCGTGGGACTCATGGTCTGAGCCAGTCACTTTGGAACACAGGAGCTGCCAGACGGGATCAAACCAGGCTGCCTGGTGGACCTTGTGTGGGAAAAGGAGAGTCAAATTCAGATGGGGACTCAGCACTCCCCTTGTTTATTTGTGGTGAGCAACAGAGCACCTGAAACCCCTGCAGCTTAGCTGGGCACTGCCAGACTCTGAGCCCGGAACGAAAATCCAGCCATGGGAAAGGAGAAGTAAGGGGAAGCTCGTCTTTTACTCCTTCTGTTCACGGGAGGGTGCCACGGATCTACCCGGCCTCACCCAAGAACAGGCAAAACACAGCCTGTGTGGAAGATCTGATTGCGTATCAGTGCTGGGTGACTGCACCGGCCCCTCCCTGCAGGTGTTCGGCACAGTGTCTGCACTGCCAAGGCGCTGTTGTAAAGAAAAAGAATTCATCGCCCAGAACATATGTGACCAAGACCAACAGTGGAGAGTTCAACAGAAACCATCGACATTTACAATTTGTTCCTCAGAAAGAACAATCAACAACAGAGCAAACGCTACAGCTGGCGGATGCAAAACAAGAAAAGGAAGACTCAAGGGTTCTAGACCGACCACAGCCAGCTGTTGTAACTACTGGGCAGCCAGATGACCACGTAGTTACGGGTTTGGGTCGTGTAATTAGAAAACCAGTGTGATTCAGAGACACTTAACAGACTGATTGGCACTGAAGTTCAAAGACAGCATGATCGTGTATTTAGTGTAAACGGTAGGTATGTAGAACTTAGAGGGGGAGATGGAATGGCATGCTAAACTGTATTATACTGTTCAGCCACTTGGTGGCACTGTGTGTAACGTACCTTATTTCAGCTCCCCTGAGCCATGGGGCGGAGCACCGGAGGGCCTGATGCTGAACGCAGTTGGGGGGCTCACTCAGCAGGAAGCTCCGTAGCCCGTCCATACCTGGTCCAGGACCGTGACAGCCGGGCTCAGGGAAGAGCAGGAGGCTGGAGGGTGCCTAGCGTGGCTATGGGGCAGCTGGCTGAAGAGACATGGCGGACAGGGCCACATTCCATTCGCTGCTCATGGATTTTCAGCCAGATGCTCACAAAACCCTGGGCAAATCCCAGCAAGGAGCAGAAGCCATCCCAGGTGGGTGAGGGCACCCACCAGCCCGGGTCCAAGGAAGAGTCCGTGTGCCCCTCCCCCCACAGGCCCTACCCACTGGCAGGAGCAGGCGGATGTGCCAAAAGAGAAACGGGGCTCAAGGCCAGGGGAGTCGCCGGGCCAGATTCTGCCTCTCGGGCCGGGGCAGCAGGAGGGCTGGAGGCCTTGCCCTGTGGTTTGGCTTATATTTGGTCTCCTTGCAGCGCTGCGGGAAGATTTCCGGCTGCAGCCCAGCAACCTGCTGGTGACGGTGGGGGAGCAGGTGCTGTTAGAGTGTGCGCCCCCGAGGGGGCATCCCGAGCCCACCATCTCCTGGAAGAAGGACGGGGTCCCCATAAGCCAGAAGGCTGGCCATTACGAGGTAAGCTCGGTCCTCTCCCCCCTCCTCACACAATACCCTGCCCTGGCTTTTCCCACCTCCAGGACCGAGCAGGGGGCTTGGTTGCATGCTAGAGCACCAAGCCTCGTGGCGTTTGCTGCCTGCAGACGGGGGGAGCCGCCTCAGCCCCCAGCTTCCAGTCCCAGGGTTCGAACAGACCCGCTTTGGCCCCTGGCCCTCGGGCTGGGACAGAGCTGCCTTGGCCACCGGCTTCCTGTCCCAGAGTTCAAACAGAGCCGCTTTGGCCCCCTCTTCCCAGGCCTGGGACGGCGCTACCTCAGCCCCATGTGGGTAGTCAGGTCTGTCGCTCTGTAGCCCAAATACGCGCTCTCTCGCTTTCAGCCGTCTCTCTGTTATACTGGACTTGGTGGGGTGCTGCCATTCCTGCTGCTGGCCCAGTACGTGGGGGCACAAGCTAAGCTCCCCCCAGATGCCGAGTTCCTGCACTGGGGCTGGCTCTGGCTGGGGCGACACGTGGGGCCCTGACTCCCTCTCTCCCTCCTTGCAGGTCTCCAGCGGGAAGCTCCTGATGGTGCACGCCCAGAGGAGTGATGCGGGGCTGTATGTGTGTGTGGCTTCCAACCAGGCAGGCCAACGAGAGAGCAAAGCTGCCCTGGTGTCTGTCCTGGGTGAGGAGACAGTCCCCTCCTTGGGCCTTGCCCACTGGGCCTGGCGCTCGGTTGATAGCCAAGCAGCTGCCATGGCGTCACAGACCCACAGCTCTAGGACACCCCCTGAAAGGACCCCTTCAGTGTCTCAGCCCCTTTCGGGTCACTCTCTCACTGGGGTAAGCCCCTTGGCTTCCCTGCCTCCTGGGACCGAACCTCAGAGCCTTCAGCCCCCCGGCTTCACGCCGTGAGCAACCTGCAGCCAGTCCACCTGAGTAGGACTTGCACCCCCAGAGGAAGCAATGCACCCCCAGCTTCCTGACTCGAGTGACTCCCAGCCAGTGTGACAGCAGGAACAGAGTGCAGGACATCCTTAGTTAACACAGTGAATGGGAAGTTACAGCAAAGTCCGGCTGGGTCAGTGCAGAGTCCAGAGCCCCTCTGAGGCTCTGTAGTCCCAGTCCAGAAGCGACTCCCCGTCACACACTTCCAGCAGCCCACCCTTAACAACCCCACCTGGCCCCTCCTCAGTCCTTTGCCCTTGTTCCCAGGCAAACACAGTCATCTGGCCTCCCCCTTAGCCCTTTGTTCTCCAGCTGGTCACACCTGACTGGCTTCCTAAGGAGGTTGGGCCATCCATAGTCCTTAGTTGCTAGGTGCCAAATGTCCAGGGAATTCGAGTGGTCACTGTCTTCAGGGACTTCCCCTGGGCCCAGGCCCCAGACAGCCAGGGTCAGTCTCACCTGGATCTCTGCGAAGAGTAAACAACCTTTCCTTCCCACCTAGTTAACCATGCAGCACATAGGGGAAACTGAGGCACACACAGTATTCATACAAAACATTAGGAAAAATCCCCACTTTGTCACACATGGGATGCCAGAAAACCAGCCAGGTGACCAATGAGACCACTGGTAGAACCCATATGGCCTGTGCCCAGGATGCCCAGTGTGGTCACCGTCTGAGGGGCATTAATAGCAGGCCAGCACCCATGAGAGGGGCTGGTTCTCCTAGACCATAACAGCAGCTCCCCCTCGCAGGGCGGCAGCAGGTTTGATGACAGCACCCAAGGCATCCTGCTCCCCAGGGCGAGGGGACGAGTTCAGGCTGGCTGGGACCCAGGCGACGCTCCCTGGAGCTTCTGAAGCCAAGCGCCCAGGAGTGCTGCCGGCTGCCCCGGCTCCCTGCATGGAAAGGGCCGTTCCCCTTGGGGAAGGAGATTCCTAGCCAAGTGATCTCTGCCATAATGGCCAGGATGTGCTGGGAGAGCAGGCGGCCCTGAGGCCCCTCCTTGGTGCCCAGCCTCCTTGACCTGGAATGTCTCCATCCTTCGGGAGCCGCCTGGCCTCTCTGAACACACAGGTCTCTCCCTGGGAGCTTGCTCCATTTGCAGCTTCACTCCATGGCTCCTGGTTTGGAGCCTGCACCCCGAGTCCTGGAGAATATCAGAAGCTTCCAAAACCAGTCCCTGGGCCTGACTCAAGCTGCAGGACTCTTGTGACAACTATGTCGAACCACAAGCCAGTGCATGGTTTAGAGACTCACGGGACTGGCTTCTCTCCCACATTGCTTTCCCTGGAGACAAGTCCCAGCCTTAGCTGCAGATTTCCAGGAGATGACTCCCTTTGAACTCCAACCTCTCGGAATTGCTGTGTCACTTCCTCCCAGTTCAGCCACATGGGAAACCATTTAGAATCATAGAATATCAGGGTTGGAAGGGACCTCAGGAGGTCATCTAGTCCAACCCCCTGCTCAAAGCAGGACCAATCCCCAGACACATTTTTACCCCAGATCCCTAAATGGCCCCCTCAAGGATTGAACTCACAACCCTGGTTTTAGCAGGCCAATGCTCAAACCATTGAGCTATCCCTTCCTCCAAGCTTACAAACAGCAGTGTGGACAGGGCTTGAGTCAAGCCAGCCTCTCCCAGTGCCCACACACACACACCTTCTGCCCTGGCAACGGGTAATCGAATAGGAGAGAAATGATTGAAATTCTGGCACACCATAATTGACATGCTGTGTTTTAAACTATGAACCCCATTTTAAAGGATGTTTCCTCCCTCAGTGAACTAAACGAGAAAGCCAAAACTTATCACGTACAGTAGTAACACACACACCCCCGGGGGTCACCAGCAGGGACTGACCCCAACCTCGGAGCTACAGCAGCAATTGCCATGTGCCCTGTGGACCTGCTGCTAGACGGGGGCTTGACACACACTATCTCAATGGGTCACACAACTATTTGTTAGACGGCAATAGAATAGTGGAGCTCAGGAATCCTGGCTCTGAGAGGGGCCTGTGAGGTAGTGGTTAGAGGTAGGCTGACAGGGGTACATAGATTTGGCACATTCAGTGTGGAAAGCAGTGTGGCTGAGGTTGGGGTTGTCATGTTAGAGATGTGGGTTCTGTGGACAGTGGGTGCTAGCGTTATATCAGGGGCCTTTTCATTTGACACATTCAGTCTCGGTCTCCCTTTGGCAGCTTTTCCCTCCAACATTTGTTGTTACAGGTTACTGTAGCATCTATGAACTTTCACTGCTTTTCACAGTTGTGCTCACAGTAAGGATACATTTATAGATCCAGTTATCGCAACACCCCCAGTGCAGGCAATGGCTGTTGAGAGCCACGTCCTTCCCCTTTCTGACTGTCCTTATTCCCTGAGGGCTGCACATGCTGGTAGGGCAGAGGTACTCCCCCCTAGGGTGGCATGGAGGAACATGAAGGGGGCATGGCGGGTCTGGGCCAGTCCCCACAGGGGGCGGGGAGGGAGTGCCCATCCCCCCAGCTCTGGTCTGACCCCATCCCCAGCCATAGCCTCGGCTCCCGGCCCCGCACCTGGTCCCATCCCTAGCCTTGGCACGGCTCAGAACTTGGCCAGGGGCCCGGCTGCCTGCCCCCACCATGGCCCAGCTGCTACTCTGCTCCCAGCCCTGCCCCGCCTCCGCCCTCTGCCTCAGCCCCTGGCTGCGACTCCATTCCCGGCCCCACTCCCAGCCCCACCCGCCCTAGTTGCAGCTCCAGCCTCAGCCCCCTTACCCCTGTCCACATTCCTCCCCCCCGAGCCACTCCCGGCCCCAGCTCTGGGAGGGGAGGGGGCACAGTCAGGGGTAAGGGAGGGCATGACCCTCAAACGTTTGAGGACCACTGTGGTAGGGGGTGGAGACCTCCTGGGGGCACAGGAGGTTGTGGGGCTTGGATCCTGTAACATGTGTCACTGACTCTAATTCTCACAGCCCAGAGCTCCATCTCCCAGCAGAGCGGGACTGTGTCACTGAGATCTCTGCTTCTCCCTCCCCAGAAAAGCCAACGTTCACTCGCAGACCCAGTGATACTGTGGCCAAATTTGGCAGCACCGTCCAGCTGGGGTGTGGTGTTGAGGGGGACCCACTGCCCAAAGTATGGTGGCACAAGGAGCACGGAGAGCTGCCCTGGGGCAGGTATGTGATGTATATTCGGAGGCTTCTGAGCTTTGGCGCTGACCCCCCAGCTAGCAGGGCGGGCGTCCGAATACCCAGCACTCCAAGCTCTGAGTAATTCCCATAGCCCATTGCTGCAAGGTAGGCAGAGGATGCCAGGCTCACTTAAGGCCGCGGGGGAGAGGGGGAACTGTGCCTATTCGATACAGCATCCGGAGGGATCAATGGAGGCAAACCCAGCCTGTCTCCTGTTCTCCTGGAGGTGGGCAGAGTGGGGTACAGCCTGGCATTGTTACTGGTCATGAGCATGAGCAATTCCCACCCCTTGGAATAGCGGCTCCACTGGCTCTGATGAGGCAGAGGGAACCATGTTCAGTGGTTGCTGCAAATGCAAGATCCCAGGCTCCGGCCCAGGGGCCCAGGCAGCTGGGGGCTCCCTGTGTTTAGGGCCCAGAGCCCTGCTGCCCATGTCCCGCTCACTCATGGTTTATTGTTGTTATTATGAGTCACGTGCATAACGATGGGGCCTACAGGCCAGCCAGGACAGGGCTGGGCACAAACACCAAGTGGCCGCCAGTCCCTGTTCCATGCAGCTCACAGCAGCTGTTCTGTCTCCCACGCCCAGGCACGAGGTGGACGAGGAGAACACCTTGCGGATTCATTATGTGACGACGTTTGACTCCGGCAGGTACATCTGCACGGCCCAGAACCAGGTGGGCACCGCCTCGGCCAAGGCCTCGCTCACTGTGCAGGGTAAGCAGCTCCATACAGCCTTCACGGCCAGCAGCATGCCAGGGCTGGGCCATGCCCACGGGCAGCAGAGAGACCTTAGTGCCCAGCACACCCTGCTTCCTGCATGCCCCGGGAACTGGGGGAGGCGGAAAGCTGTCACCTGCGACTGGGCACACGTAACATCCCTGCCCTGCCCACCCACCAGCCCCATCAGCTCTGGCCCTCTCTGAGCAGCCCTGGTGTGATTCTCTCCTCTGCTCCCCAAGACTTGACAGGCTGGGGTCCCAGCATCTGGAGAGGGGCAGGCCAATGCCCTGAACTGCCTGAAACAGCCCCACATGAGCTCCAAGAAAGCCCCTTTCTGTGCTACTTACCACTGCGCTACCACAGGCCCAGGGATCGGGGCGCAGTAGCACTTGGATGTTCCATCAGGAGACAATGCCCCTGGCTGCTGGGAACTCCTGTCACTTCCTTGGCAGGGCCCGATCTGCAGACACAGCGGGGAAGCGCACCTCACATGGCCCGAGTGACTCCGCTGCTTGAGTGTGTGCAGGATTGGGCGCGTCACTTCATGGCTGGCCCAGCCCCTGCCCCCTCCAGCTCTGCCTCTCTGGGGGTTTGCTTCATGGAGGGGGTTGAAGCTACAGCAGAGTCTCCCCCGGCTCGGCTCCGTTCACCCTTCCCGGCTTCCAGTTCGATTCCTGGGGCCTGTGGTCTCCCCACTGGCTAGGGTTGCCAACTTTCTACTCGCACAAAACTGAACACTCTTGCCCCACCCCAGCCCCGTCCCTCCTCCAAAGTCCCACTCATTCCCTGCCCCTTCTCCAAGGCCCTGCCCCCGCTCACTCCATCCCCTCCCCCCCATCGCTCACTCTCCCCACCCTCACTCACTCATTTTAACCAGGCTGGCTCAGGGGGTTGGAGTGGGGGGGGGGTGAAGGCTCCAGCTGGGGGTGTGGGCTCTGGGGTGGGGCCAGGGATGAGGGATTTGGGGTGCAGGAGGGGGCTCCGGGCTGGGACCGAGGGGTTCAGTGTGTGGGAGGGGGATCGGGGTGGGGTAGGGGGTTGGGGCATGGGGGTGGTGAGGTCTTTGGCTGGGAGTGCGGACTGTGTGGTGGGGCTGGGATGAGGGGTTTGGGATGCAGGAGGGTGCTCTGGGCTGGGACTGAGGGATTCGGAGAGTGGGAGGGGGATCAGGGCTGCGGGAAGGGGTGCAGGTTCCAGCTGGGGGTGCAGGCTCTGGGGTGGGGCTGGGGATGAGGATGCTCTAGGCTGGGATTGAGGGGTTCGGAGGGCGGGAGGAGGATCAGGGCTGGGGGGCAGGGGGTTGGGGCCCGGGAAGGGGTCAGGGGTGCAGGCTCCAGGTGGCACTTATCTCAAGCAGCTCCCAGAAGCAGCAGCATGCCCCCTCCGGCTCCTACGTGGAGGCATGGCCAGGCAGCTCTGCACGCTGCCCCGTCCGCAGGTGCCACCCTTGCAGCTCCCATTGGCCACGGTGCCCAGCCAATGGGAGCTGCGGAGGCAGTGCTTGGGGCGGGGGCAGCGTGCGGAGCCCCCTGGCTGCCCCTACACATAGGAGCCGAAGGGGGGACAAACATACCAGCTGCTTCCCAGGAGCCACGCGGCGTGGAGGCTAGCAGGGAACCTATCTTAACCCTCCTGCGCAGCACCGCCAACCGGACAGTCAATGGCCCAGTCAGCAGTGCTGACCGGAGCTGTCAGGATCCCATTTCGACCGGGTGTTCCGGTTGATAACCAGACACTGGTCACCCTACCACTGGCCTTTCCCGAGGGTGCCCTGCCCTGATGTCTATGGGACAGCTCCGACTGGGAGGGGCCCTGAGTCACAGACCCCCTTCCCCATGGGCTGGACATGGCCCTGAAGAAGAGATAGACCCTCCCATGTTGTAGGTGGGACTGTGCATTACAGATGTCTGGGCTGGGGGCCCTGCAGTGTCCATTAGCTGGGTGTCTGGGTTGCTAGCACATGGTAACAGCCCGTAGGCTGGGGTTGTCAAAGGGGAGAGGGAGCAACTTCTAAAGGTGCTCACTGGGGGTGGTATTGCCCCGCGGAGTTCCTGTTGCCCATGCCCCCAACCCCACGCTTGTCCCTTTCTTGCCCGTAGACCCCCTGGACACTGGCCAGAGGGAGTGGCCGAAGGACGTCCCGCGGGAGATGATGGACGTCCAGCTGTACCTGGACAACAGCACCACGCTCCCCTCCTCATCCGCCGTCTACCTGCACTGGAAGGTGAGTGAGGAGTCTCCACTAGTGCTAAGTGCACTGGGACCCCGGCCTGGAGTGTCTGCCAGCGAGCTCTGGGCAGCCCCTCTGCCTGGCTCGGGGACGGGTGGGGAGTGATGAGGGTGGCTCTCCCCAGGGGCACCCAGGATTTGGAGGCCCTTAGTGTGAAGTGGGCTTGTCTGTGTCTGCTGTAGCTCAGCTCCTTGAAACCAGCAACCTCTGGCCACACAAGCCCTGTCTGACAGGCCTTCCCAAACCTCACCCTAGCGATAGGCACCAACCCGCGAGTCCTCAGAGCGGCCCCTGTGGTGCCCAGCCCGTGCCCCCTGGACACTCACAGAAATTACTGGCCTGCTGTCTCCAGCGGCCTCCTGCCCCCCGGTTATTTTTAGTAAAGTCATGAACAGGTCACGGGCTCCATGAATTTTTGTTTATTGCCCATGAACTGTCTGTGACTTTTACTAAAAATAACCGTGACAAAAACTTAGCCTTACTCGTAAGTAATGATCATAGAATCATAGAATATCAGGGTTGGAAGGGACCTCAGGGGGTCATCTAGTCCAACCTCCTGCTCAAAGCAGGACCAATCCCCAACTAAATCATCCCAGACAGGGCTTCGTCAAGCCTGACCTTAAAAACCTCGAAGGAAGGAGATTCCACCACCTCCCTAGGTAACCCATTCCAGTGCTTCACCACCCTCCTAGTGAAAAAGCTTTTCCTAATATCCAACCTAAACCTCCTCCACTGCAACTTGAGACCATTACTCCTTGTTCTGTCATCTGGTACCACTGAGAACAGTCTAGATCCATGCTCTTTGGAACCCCCTTTCAGGTAGTTGAAAGCAGCTATCAAATCCCCCCTCATTCTTCTCTTCTGCAGACTAAACAATCCCAGTTCCCTCAGCTTCTCCTCATAAGTCATGTGCTCCAGCCCCCTAATCATTTTTGTTGCCCTCCGCTGGACTCTTTCCAATTTTTCCACATCCTTCTTGTAGTGTGGGGCCCAAAACTGGACACAGTACTCCAGATGAGGCCTCACCAATGTCGAATAGAGGGGAATGATCATGTCCCTCAATCTGCTGGCAATGCCCCTACTTATACAGCCCAAAATAATAATATATGAAGATATACCTATCTCATAGAATTAGAAAGGACCCTGAAAGGTCATTGAGTCCAGCCCCTTGCCTTCACTAGCAGGACCAAGTACTGATTTTGTCCTAGATCCCTAAGTGGCTCCCTCAAGGATTGAACTCACAACCCTGGGTTTAGTGTGCCAATGCTCAAACCACTGAGCTATCCCCCCTCCCTAACAGCAACAAAGGCACACTGTTTATTCATATCCAGCTTCTCGTCCACTGTAACCCCTAGGTCCTTTTCTGCAGAACTGCTGCCTAGCCACTCGGTCCCTAGTCTGTAACAGTGCATGGGATTCTTCCGTCCTAAGTGCAGGACTCTGCACTTGTCCTTGTTGAATCTCATCAGATTTCTTTTGGCCCAATCCTCTAATTTGTCTAGGTCCCTCTGTATCCTATCCCTACCGTCTAGCGTGTCTACCACTCCTCCCAGTTTAGTGTCATCTGCAAACTTGCTGAGGGTGCAATCCACGCCATCCTCCAGATCATTAATGAAGTTATTGAACAAAACCAGCCCTAGGACCGATCCTTGGGGCACTCTGCTTGATACCGGCTGCCAACTAGACATGGAGCCACTGATCATTACCCGTTGAACCCGATGATCTAGCCAGCTTTCTATCCACCTTATAGTCCATTCATCCAGCCCATACTTCTTTAACTTGCCGGCAAGTTAATCATAGAGTCAGAAATGGTTCCATAGAAACCAAAAGGTATAACCCATTTCGCAGAGTCTCCGCTGAACTGTACCTGGCCAAACCCTAGTTTGAAGTAGTTTTTCTCTCCAAGGCAATCTCCCAGCGTCTCCAGCCAACCTGGCCAGGATCCCTCCTTCGTGAATGTAAAGAGCTCTGTCCTTTTTGCTTCCCGGTGCAGTGTAACGAGGGCCCTTCTGCCTTCTCCTTATATCCCCCCAAATCCATTGCTGATCTCCAGAGTCTGGATGGCCCCCAGGGTCTATCCCTGGTGTGCTGACTTCATGTTGTTTTCACATCCTCATGTTGCCTTCCTATGGAAACGGGGCTTCCATTTTGTCGGCTCCCAGTGCTTAATATACGTGGGAACTGAGGCAGCCAGGGGAACATACACCCTTGTGTTCCC